TGACAGCTATTGTTATATTAACAAATTAAACGGTGACACGTGGCGCGGATAGGGGTATAAATACCCGACGAATTTTTAGCTAAGACACCAGTCCTATCCGCTCCTCCGACCTGTCCAACACCGACAACCGTTCCGACCAGAACAGCGAGAGAAGATTCTCTCAACGAATACCGAGCGTTCTCCGTATTCCTGTTCTATCCTTTCTCGAGAATTCGGAGTGTTCTCAGCTTTCTCGCTCTCACAACGAATACCGAGTGTTCTCGATATTCTTGCATCTCCCGTCCGAAGAAAATCAGAGTGTTCTCAGATTTTCCTCCTCCCGACAATACCGAGAGTTCTCAGTATTGTCACTCCATCAATTAACGAAAGTCGGAGCGTTCTCGGACTTTCCCGCGACGTCCGCCCCACGTGTCACGGCGAGCGTCAGCGGTTGCCTAGCAACGTACACGCACGGGCCCGGTTGCCTGGCAACGCGCATCCCGATACGAACCCGGCATCCGACGAGCGAAAATCCGAGCGCACGTCCCCGCGTCCGCGCCTAGCGATAAAAATTTGTACTGCGCTTCAACAGAAAAATCCGAGCGCGCAGGGACGTTCCGTTACAAAATTAATACGGCAACTAATCGTGACTTGTGTGCTCTCAGGATCATAATTATATCGATTGAAAAATATTATGTAGCAATGATTTATTCCATTGATTCTCAAACTTAGCTAAGGTTCATTGAAATAATTTTGTTTCTTTATTTATCTAGATATATCTCACTTATTTATATAATAATAACTTAATTAATTAATTTTTAGTTTAAATTGAAAAATATTTGTAAGTTTCTAATATTCATTGTATTTTTCTCAATGTTTACAATTTTAAAATTTTAAAGTAATAATTTTAATCAAAATGATCGCTTTAATTCGCAAGGCCAAATTTAATTGTTCGCATATAAACATATTTGATAATATTTGCATGGATATAACACGTTTTTTTATGTTAGTTAAAAGAGAAAGAAAATTAAATAAATTGTTAAATCATTATATAATAATTATTGTCCTTTCCTTGGAAATATAATAAAATATATTATTAATATTATAAATTGAAAAAAAATTTTCAAAAAATATCATTAAAATCTTGTCATTTTAGTTACATGATTATAATGGTATAAGGTTTGACAAATTGATATTACCAAGATTACTACGCTTTCTTTATGATTTCAATATTCTACAATATTTGAGGATTTGTAAGTTTAATATAGAGGAAAGTAAAATTAGAATTTAAAACTATCATAAACTGCGATCCGATATACCAGAATGGTACACAGACAAGGATCCGTTCGATCGGAATTGCAAAAAATGCTCGACTTGGAATAACAACACATATTTTAAAATATATGAGATTTTATTAAAGTACAAAAATTCGTGAACTTTTATAGAAGATTTCTATTCCTATTTCTATTATATTTTACCAGAGTTGGAAAAGTTATCTTACAGTAAAAGTAACTAGTTACAATTCTAGTTCTCAGTTATAGTTCTTTTCTTTCAAAAAATAACTATTTACCGGTACAATTTAAAAAAATAACATGTTACAATTATAGTTATTCATAAAATAACGAGTCGTTATTTTTTAGTTACTTCTCTCTGTTCCTGTATTGTTTTGTGCATTTCTATTTTAAATATAAAAATCTTATATTTCTAATATATTTCTTGTAATATATTTCTAAGGACTGATTGCAACGACATTAAGCGAGACTTTAAATTTATTAGCAGTCGAATTTGATTAGTTCTTATTTTACATCGAACCAATCAAATTAAGACTAATTGTAAGTTCGAAAACATCATCCGAGTACTCCTAAAGTACTCCAAAGATAAAATGATACATAGGGTACTCAAATGTTTTCGAGCATAGTCTAAATGTGAAAATACATTTTGAGAAGGCTGTCAGTCCTATTGGCTGTGTTCAACTCAAACAGCTTTGCAACTGTGTAAGATTCTTAAATGTGATTAGTTTATACATTTAGATCTATGAATTAAGGGAGAAACTAACAAAAATCCATCCTATCAAAAATTTTTACAACAGTTGCAAAACTGCTATCTCTGCTGAACGTAGTCATTGTGTCATTTTATCATTAAATATAAAATAAGGATAGAATGACATAGCATCAAATGACAAATAAATTTGAAATATATGAAATAACGATGAAAGTAAGACTATTAAATTAGTTATTAGTTACTAAAAAAAATGTAATTAAGTTAAGTTACAATTATAAATAAAAAAGAAACAAAGTTAAGTTATTGAAAAAAGGTAACTTTAACTGTAACTTCGTTACAAGTAACGAGTTACTTTCCAACCCCGTATTCTAAGGATGAAGTTTGAATTAAGAACTTATTATATTAAAAACAAAAGTAAAAAGATTTTAACTTTTCTGAAGAATTTACTGAAATATTTTATTTGCATTTAGAATGTTTTTTTTTTCTACGAAAGCCAATCAGAAGACTCATTTTCTTCACACGTCCTTATTTGTATAATCCAAAAAAAGATAAATTATCAGATGACTGAAGGTATAATTAAAATAATATTATATAATATAATACATATAAATATACTTTCTTACTCCCGTTATGCGTACACATCATTGTGTGGAGACTGCGAAATCTTGAACTCGACAGAGACCTTTTATTAATAATCAGTCAATCCGAATTGTGATAATAACATAAGGAATAGAGACTATAGTTAGAGATACATTTCCCAATTTTTCGAGACCTATTGTACTCTGCCTCCCATCAATAATTTGCTGGATCCTGACATTCTGACTTATCGGTCTAATGATCCGCTGGGTCGATAAGATTAATAATGATAATCCTGCCTGCACCGAACGTAACAGAGACGTGCTATTTTTGTCACAAAGTCGCAGAAATTGTGATACGTTTCTCGCACGTCGCCGTGACAAAATAATTTTACTGTTTTAATTAATCTTCTGTTTGCCAGTCTTCTGTTTTTCTATAATACTGCAGTTTATATTTTAAAGATAAATAATATTTTATTATATTATTTGTTATTTAACGTGTAACGCGGTCACCTCGCTCGACGCTCGGATCGGCTCGTCGGTGTCCGGGTTCGAGAGGAGGGGAGACTCAAGCGTACGCGAACACAAGTGGCGGCGTGAAAAAGATAGTTTATCTAGCGAAAGAGAGATATAGCGTGCAGGGCCACTGTCGCAGTGT